TGATGTGGGCCTGAGAAAACCTGCTTCTCTCCCCGTACTTGTTTCTGTTGGGATGTGGCCAGTGTGGCCGTGAGAGTCTGGCTGGACCCTTCCCTGTGCTGGGGTGTGTCCTAGCTGCACCAATAGGGCAAAGGGCTATTTTGTGTTACTGTGTTGACATTTTATTTAAGTTCACTTTGGTAGCACACATATGTGCTTTACAAGTCCTCATCCATGCAGCTTCATTCCCAGAGGTGAGGCAGCATCTTATTCTGTCCCAAGGGAGTGGCTGACAGAAGTGGATTAGCTGAGGGAGGTGGAGGTACTGAGGGAGCAGCTGAGGGAGATGGAGGGGCTGAGAGAGTTGGAGGTACTGAGGGAGTAGTTGAAAGAGATGGAGATGCTGAGGGAGGTGGAGAGGCTGAGGGAGGTGGAGGGGCTGAGGGAGTAACTGAGGGAGCTGGAGGAGCTGAGGGAGGCAGAGGTGCTGAGGGAGTAGCTGAAGGAGGTGGAGGGTCTGAGGAGTAGCTGAAGGAGGTAGAGGGGCTGAGGGAGGTGGAGGTACTGAGAGAGTGGCTGAGGCAGGTGGAGGGTCTGCGGGAGTAGCTGAGGGAAGTGGATGAGCTGAGGGAGGAGCTGAGGGAGGTGGAGGGACTGGAGGAGTTAGCCAGGAGGTGGAGGGGCAGTGACCTGTTCTAGGTCACAGCTGGGAAGTGGCAGCACTGGATCTGAACCCCGCAGGCTGGCCTTGGAGCCTGCACTCAGGCTATCACACCCTGCTGCCTCCACTGTTAGGAGGAGAATAAATACCAGCGAAATTAAGACGTCTCCTTGGCTTGAAAGAAGTATAAAAATGTGCTAGATGACTTGACAGTGTTTAATAGCAGGGAACGTATGCCTTTTAAAGCACAGCTCAACTAACTGGAAAAACTCAGAGGAGAGTTGAATGAAAGTAAATCATGGAAATGATGTACGGTATTTCCCAGTAGAGGGAAGTGCGCCTGTCAGTGTGACGAGTCAGTGTCCTGAGCCTGTTTCCTGCCCCCAGAGAGGGAAGGACAGAGCCTGTGACCGTCTCACGGTGCCCTTTTTTGGCACCCAGACCTCTGCAAGGAGGCTGTGCGTTCTAGATAGAAGAGTTCTTGGTCAGGTTTTGCTGGTGGTTAAAATCAGTCTTTGAAAGTGAATTTTAAGTGGGAAGTTGGCAATGTTCTGAATGGCCAATGTTACTGTGTTTAGTTATGGAACATCGCAGAGCCCTGAAACGACGCTTAGGCCATGGGCTGCAGGCAGATGAAGTCACGTGCACAGACTCCTGGGAAACCCAGTCCCCCTGCCCTCCGGCCAGCCCACAGGCGACGGGTTCTTCCCTCTTTCTGGCACTTGCAGGTTTCTGTTCCTGCTGCAGCACTGTGGCTGCAAGGCTGCCTCCCCCCCCACAACCCCCCCCCACTGGGGCGCTGTGGGTCCTGGCGGCCGGCCCTCCCCTGCCCCGAGTGGGCTGAGGGTCTGTGACGCTCACCTGCACCTGCCCCGGAAGGCTGTCCTCTTTGTCAGGGTTTCTTAGAAGAAGGCGGCCAACGAGATGTTGGGATGACTGGAAATGAGGTGGTCTGTCTGCTGTCCTGAAAACTTCTGTTTTGATGAAATCCACTCAGCCGACTTCAAAAAGGGGATCATGTTTTAACAGTTATTAGAACCTGTTTTTTGAAATTGTCTGAAATATTTTCTTCTCTGGCCTTTTTCTGTTTTCCAAGTTTTTAATTTAATATCTTACTTTAAATGTCAGGTTAGAAAATATTTTAATTAGGAAACCACATGCTTAAGGTAAGAGTTTGAATAGTGCTAAAGAATACAAATAGTAAACAGTGAAGTACACTCCTACCCCGGACCAATGCCACTCTCTGGTCGCTTACTGCCCGCGGGTCCTTGCTTAAATCCTGATTTTTTTCTTTTTTTTTGAGGAAGATTAGCCCTGAGCTAACATCTGCTGCCAATCCCCCTCTTTTTGCTGAGGAAGACTGGCCCTGAGCTAACATCCGTGCCCATCTTCCTCTGCTTTATATGTGGGACGCCTACCACAGCATGGCTTTTGCCAAGTGGTGCCATATCCGCGCCTGGGATCCAAACCACCGAACCCTGGGCCGCTGAAGTGGAACGTGCGAACTTAAGTGCTGCGCCACTGGGCCAGCCCCCAGATAGCCTTTTTTCATTGAATTTTCTACACACAAGTGGCCACATGCCTGTGCCCACACATGGGAATGTACTGTCCATGCTGTTGGGAACCTTAATTTTTACTGTATCCAGCTGAACTCCCGGCAGAGACCTACTGGGTTGTAAGTTCTTGGCAGGTGTCACCCCGTGGCCCCAAGAGGTTGCCCAGGGCATGTGACTGCCGCCGGGCTCCCTCGCTGCCCCAACAGCCTGCCTGTCTCATGGCTGCCCTCTCAGGTGGGAAATGGCATTCTTGCTTTAATGTGCAAACCCACCCCAGACAGGGCGCACGGGTTGGAGGGCTGTTTGCCGTTGAGGGTCCTCATTTCACTCTGCCGTGGATGCCTCGGGGGGATTCTGGGCCAAGGTGAGGAGGTTGAGCAGGAGGGGCTGGAGGCCCCCTCCCTGTCCACAACCGCGGCTCCCAGGAGAGTGTGGATGTGGCCGCAGCCTGGAGCTGCCCTGGGCAGGAGGAGGCTGGTGGGGCCCCGGTCAGTTTTAGGGGCGGGCTGGGACACGCAGTGGAACCCTGCTTTATACCCCGCAAGGTAGGATGTCGTTAGCAAGGCAGGTAATTAGCAAGCGTGGGTATAATTGGCTCTGCTTCACAGGTGGGGAGAGTCGTGGCCCATACTTGTGCAGTGTGTCCTGGGTGCCAGGCACTGTTCTAAGCTCTTCACATGGGTTCCTCACGGCAACCAGATGAGATCGGTGCTCCTCTTAGGATGCCCACTTTCTGGATGAGGAAACTGAGGCCCAGTGACTTCCCCAAGACACAGCTGGCAGGTGGAGAAGCCAGGCCTGGGACCAGGTCGTTCTGACCACAGAGCCCTGTGCCTAGCCCCATCCCACCCGGGGCGAGGGACCTTTGGAAGGTGGGGTCACATTTGCAGAACGTAGGCAAGATGAAGGCCCACTTCCCTTGGCTCTGTGCTGTTGTCCTCAGAGGCCCTGAGACAGCTGCCCTCAGGGCCTGGTGGGGGCTCCCACACACTCCTGTGTGATTGGGCGGGGGGTGGGGGAAGGCCGGGTTTCTGGTGAGTGGGAGAGCTGATGGATGTCATTCCTTTATTTTGCAAATGGACCACTGTGTCTTTCTCCCTGCGTGCCTCCTGAGAGCAGAGGATGGGCGATGACTCCAGGAGCAGGTCTTCTGTCTCCTTCAGTATGACGACAACTAATTATAGCTCGTGGGTTTTTCTGTCGAGAATGGAGAAATTGCCGCGGTGAAGGGTGCAGACGGCCGGCCGTGGCCGGGGCCTCGCGGTGACAGAGGGCGGAAGTGTGTATTTATACCCAGGGACCTCGAGCTTGAAGCTGGGTGGCGGAAGGCAGATATGAAGGCAGGAGGCGAGGATGCCACCGTGCCAGCGCGTCGTGCAAGTTGTTGAGAATAGACGTCATGCGGATGCCCTGAGCTGCTGTCCCTGTTGGTCAACACCGTGGAATTAGGGGGAATGGGATACGCGCCCGTCCAGCCTCAGAACAAGCAGCTCTGGGCTTTTACTTGTTAAAGTGACAAAGCCTTCTTGCATTTCCAGAGCAAAGAAGTTTTTCGGTTTTAAAATCCTTGGCCTTCGCGTTGTGTGTGTAACACTCTCACCCAGGCGTGAAGCACTTTCTCTCTCCCTTCTGTTTTGCAGTCTCCAGGTGTCGCTGGGCCACCTGCCTGGGAGAGGACAGCCCCGTGTGCACGGTTCCTGGGGTTGCCGTCCCCTGCCCATGGCTGGTGCCACTCCTCCCCCCGTGTTTAAACAGGAGACGTGGGGTCCGTGTCCTGGGTGGACGTGGCCTTGTCCAGGACATGTCTGCCTGCTCGTGTGTGAGATGTTTTTGATACAAGTTGGCTGTCAGAAGCAGCCGCTGCCGTGGGAAGGCCCCAGCATCAGTGTCAGGGCCCCGCCGTGGTGGGACCCGTTGAATCCTGGCCACTTCTGCCTGCTAGTATGGAGTCTCGTCTAACTCAGCTGTTTGCTCAGGATTCAGGGGACGTGGTGGGCACTGAGGGGCCCCAGTGACTGGAAATCGTGTCCCGTGGGTAGACATGCAGACCGGGTGCAAACTATTCGCTGTGCTGCGGGCGTGACTGGCCCCACTCCTGGGGGGCTGCGTGGGAGGGATGGGGTGTCAACAGAATTTCCGTGGAGCCCCTCCTGCCTCTCAGCAGTCTTCAGAAAATGGCGAAAACTATGTAAGCTCTTTAAGTAAAAGAAAAACAAAAATACCTCAACCACGAAAGATGCTAGAGTTTGATTCTAAGGTTTAAAAAATACATTGGGTTGTTCACAGTCACAGAAGGGTCAGCGTGGGTTCACCAGCCCTGGTGCCCTCCTTGACCCTGCGTCTGTGACCTCTGGGTGTGCAGCTCTGATTCCCTTTGTCTGAAAGTTTACTGCAACAGAATAACAGACACACTACAGCAACTCGCTGCTCCTCTGTGGGAATTCTGTTTGGCGTAAAAACAATCAAAGACAAAGAAAAACGTGAATCTAAATGGGTTCATCAGGAACTCATTTTCTTGGACGTGTTGTGTGTATCTCTGCCTTTTCCTTCGTCGCCTCCCACCTGTGGACTTCAGCGCAGTTAGTGGACGGGTGGGTGATCCTTTTCTGATCAGTGGCCTCTCGCTCGCTGTGACCCTGGCTCGCATTTGAAGGGTGTGTTTTCAGGGAAGTGGCAACAGTCAGGGGTTGGGGACCAGCTCTTGCACCTGGTGACTGGTGGGTTGCACTTCCTCCATTCAGGGGTGAGCGATTGTACACTCACTCTCTCCCGCTGTTGCACAAGCGCCTGAAGGCCCGGCAGATCCTGGGTCAGGGGTTCGGCCGCCCGGCCCAGAAGTTAAGCGCCTCAGCAGGAGCTTCTTTCCAGCGCCTTCCCAGAAGTGATGCCAAGATTCTGCGAACACAGTTGAAGTGTTTAAATGTTCTTGTTTCCCGGTATTTTCAGAGCAGAGGTTTCTGAAGACTCCTTCCCAGAAACGATCAGGAAGTATCGAGAGGCAGAAGCACCTTCTGTCTCCGTCTGTATCCCATCTTAGCAAAGTGGAGGCTTTGTCGAGGCCTCAGCGGGATCCAGCAGAAGGCGGGTCCTTGTCCCTGTGTGCTCTTGGAGGCGAAGATCTGGACTTGGCTGCCGTCCCTTGGGGCTGGCTTGAGGAGGAGCCCTCGGGGAGTGGGTGCTGGGTGCCTGGAGGCCCACGCATCACCTGGTTTTCTTCTTCCCTCCGCCTCTCCCGCCCACCCGCCTGTGCTTCCTCCCCTGCTCTCTGGGCTGACAGCCCTGCTCTAGGCACCAACATGCTCCATCTTCTCTTGTGGGCTGTAGGGGCCTCATCATGAGGTCTGATGTAAAGAGAGGGCTCTCAATTTTGCTCAGTACACGGTCAGCCATGTATTTCCAGTTTTAGAGGAAAGAGAAATGCCAGTTTAACTTGTACGAACAAGAAGGCAAGCCCCCATCTCTCCTGCACCTCCTGTACCGCGGGCGGCCTGCAGGATCATCGCTTCTCAGCAGTCTCTCGGCGTGGTCTGTGGTGTCGGCATGTGTGGCCCCATCTCGAGGACCTGCTTCGCCCGGTCGGTGGGGCACTTTTAATGAACACAGCTCTACTTCCAGGGTACGCAGCACTCTCTGAGTTTATTGGCTGGTTATGTACGTATGTAATTCTAATTCCCTGGTGTGTTGGGCTTGGGGCCCAGGTTGGTTAGGTCTCTGCGTTTATTAGGAATTCCAGGTCCAGGCATTTGTGTCACAAGTATTTTTCCTAGTTTATTTTGTTGAGCCTGTTACTACAAAGACCTCTTTTGGCATCTGTGGTGTGAGGGGGTTGCAGGCAAGGGCAGCGTCTCTGTTCAGTCCTGCATCAGTGCTGGGCTGTGTGGGATTAGAGGGTCCCTGGGGGGAGGCCGGGAGGGAGGCACCCCGCTGTTCCTGCCGTGTGGTCACAGGAAGTGTGAGAGAGACCGCCTCTCCTCGTAAGTAAACACAGAAAGGGCAGGGACGTGCAAGAGGGCACACTGACCCGGGCCCACGTCTGAGCCCACACGGCGCACCACACCTCTGTGCGGATGTGACGTCGTTCCCTGACTTGAGGGCAGCATGGGGGCGTGAGGTTCTAGTGTATGAATGTTTTCACAGAGAAATATGAAGTGTAATTCACTGTTTAAAAAACACGTAGAAGGTGAGTTCCCTGGTCACTCTCCCCTCTCTCCAAAGGTGACGACTGTTAACAGTTGGATATGTGTCCCTGTGTGTGTCCTGTGTGTGTGTGTCCTGTGTATATGTGTCCATGTGTGAATCCATGTATGTGCCCGTGTATATTTGTCTGTCCATATGTGTTCATATGTGTCAGTGTGTAAATGCATGTCTGTGTCCATGTGTGTCCACGTGTATATGCATGCCTGTGTGTCTGTGTCCCTGTATGTTCATTTACGTCCACGTGTATATGCATGTCCGTATGTCTGTTCATGTGCGACCATGTGTATATGCATGTCTGTGTATGTGTGTGTGTGTGTCTCTGTGTGTGTGTCCCTGTGTGTGGAGACTGGCACTGCTCCCTGGACACGATGGGGGTCATCAGCCTGCTGCCCTCTGCCTTTGTGTGGGTCGCGGGTGCAGTGAGCTCAGGGCCGTCCAGCCGCGCTGCCTCACCCTCCTGCACGTGTCCGACCACCAGCCCTCAGTGCAGGCCGTCACTCTCGGTGCACTTGTGTCCGAGGGCCGTGCTCACCCACGTGGTTCTGCACACTGGCCTTGTCCATGGATTGCTGCCCAGGGATCGCATGCGCTCCGCTTGAGATTCAGACTCGCCCTCAGAAATCCTCTTCCTGCTCCACCAGCACCGGTGGCAGCAATCTTCTGAATTTCCGTTAATTAGGTACTTTTTCATTGACGTTTCTTTATTACTGGAGTTAAGCACCTTGGAGCTGTTTTTGAAGGCAGGAAAGTTTATGAGGTGGTGGGGAAATTAAAAATGCAAATAAATTCAGTTAAAGCAAAACTTTTGAGCAGGGTATTTTACCTAAATTTGCCCTCTGTACAGGTCACCCTGACCTGGACGGAAGCACCAGTTTTAGTGGCATTTCAGTGTCCCCTGGTGTCAACGGTGTCCTCTGGGCCTCTGGAAACATCTGGGGGTTGAGCTCCCCATGGCACCCGCAGCCCCTGGTCAAGTCATGGTTGAAAGACACACATTCCCCCCAGGGGTGGGCCAGCCATTTCCTGGTACAGCCACATTGTCCCCGGGAGCCAGCGTCCAGCCTGGAGAGTCCAATGGCCACCCTGGAGGGGTCAACAGGAAGTCAGGCCAGTGGAGGAAGGTTATTTTATTTCCCTGCTGCTGAGCTGTCCGGGCCCAGGGACACATGCACACACCACACACAGGTCCACACTCCCTCCAGAACAAGTCAGTGTTGTGTGTTTCCATGTGTGCAGGGCTGGTGAGGTCTCACAGGTGGTGGCCCCCTCCTCCTCCGGCCCCTGCACCCACCAGCTTCTGCCCTCCCAGCGCCTGCTCGTCGTTGCTGTTATGGAGGATGGGTTGGTTGGTGTGTGTGTCTGTCACCGCGCCATTCTCTGTCCCCTTTCCGGCTCCCGCCAGCACACTTGTGGCACACGCGTGCCCGGTCTGGGTGCAGGAATGAGGGTCAAGCAGTGTCAGGATGTCCTCACAGCCTCGTTTGCCCCTGGAGGTGTGGCTGGAGCAGGAAGCGGGCGCCCAGGGATGGTGTCCTGCGGGCTTTTCCGCTGGGCGGGTCCAGCCGGACCCAACTCCAGGGCTGAGCATGTCCTGTGCAGCTGGAGTGTGGCTCCGAGGATGCATCCTAAGATCTGGGGAAACTGAAGTAGAAACAAACTGCTGTGTGACACAGAGAGCTCCTGAAACCTATCCCTGATTCCTGGGGGGACAAGGCCTTTTTTGCGAGGTCGTGACAGCACCACAGCCAGGGGGGAGGCCTGAGGTGGGGGACAGCCTGGGGTGACACCAGCAGGGCATGGTCTCGGGGTGGCTGTCGCGTCTCTGCTCCCAGCTGGGAGGGGAAAGTGTGGGCAGTGCGTGTCCTCCGCTGTCCTGGCTGTAGGGCCTTAGTGGGGAGTGGGCTCAGCCGCGCTGTCTGGGCAAACCCCGTAGACAGAAGCCAGACAGGCTCCGCAGCAGCCTCTCAGCCGTCACCTGGATCCCTGCCCCGGACACCGGTGAGGGCACGTCAGCGTTGGTTGAGCATCCTGTTGCCCGTGGGAGCACTGCCGCCTCATGTGTGGTGGCGAGTGGTGTCCCCTCTGTGACCTGTCCCCGCTCACAGCCAGCCAGTTCCAGGAGGGAGCCAACGCCTCAGGTGCATGTGGCAGACCCCAGACAGCACTCCCCCCCCCCGCCCCCGGTCCATGGTCCTGCCGTTCAGGCCCCCAGCCGCAGTGACTGATCACATCTGGGATTACAACACTAGAGAGGGGCTTTGTGCTGCAACAGAGAGCACACACCGCACACCCATGCGTATGCGTGCACACACATGCACGTGAACATGCACGGTGCACACATGCATAGATGTGCTGTGCACACAGCACACGTGTGTACACAGGGATCCACATGACACGCGGCTTCACATATGTGGATGCACATCCATACGTGGATGCACACATACACACATCTGTGCGTGCATGTACATGTGTGCACCGACGCATGTGGGTATATGCATGCACGTATGCAACACATGGCACAACTTCATGAAACAGCCATTATCTTGCCAGTTGCTGGGCACGCCTGTTTTTTCCACCTGACTTGATTCAAGGCTACTCGGGTGGAAAGCTGTGTGTGACAGGCACTGACAGGCCGCTGAGTGACGGGCTCAGAGCCCCCTGTGGGTTCCATTCTCCTGACATGTAAAGTGGGATCGTGCCCTCCTCGTGAACCAGTGCAATTATGTGAGGATAGAGGGGGCGACGTTGTGGGACCCTGTCTTCCTAATGGGTCCTGTCTCTGTGACAGGCAGCCCTTTGCACAGGGAGGTGGGCTCCTGACACCCGGCTCCCTCCCTCCACTTGTCAGAAATGCGGAGAAGAATAGCATTTTCCTTGGGTGTTTCCAATGTGCATTCCTCGGCGATGGCGCAGCAGTGTTTCTGGAGGAGCATCGTGGCAGCCTCGGTGGTGTGATGTGCGCTCTGCTTAGCAGTGTTTACATTATACAAAACAATGAGTACTTGTCAAAAAAGAAAGCAGCGAATGCTGCTGACCTTTGCTATTCATGTGGATTGTTTTGTTTTGAGGAAGTTTAGCCCTGAGCTAACATCTGCCACCAGTCCTCCTCTTTTTCTTTTTGTTTTGCTGAGGAAGACTGGCCCTGAGCTAACATCTGGGCCATCTTCCTCTATTTTATATGGGACTCCTGCCACAGCATGGCTTGCCAAGCAGTGCGTATGTCCACACCCAGGATCCGAACTAGTGAACCCCGGGCCGCCAAGGTGGAACGTGTGAACTTAACCACTGCACCACCAGGCCGGTCCCTCATGTGGATTATTTTGAAGACCATTTGGGAACGAGAGGTAGGGTCTAGTGGAGGTGACCGGGAATCTGGCGTGTGCCGATGAAGTGAACAAGGCATGGAGCCGGATGAGGCCCGTGCTGAAAGCCTGCACGTGCGTCTGCAGACAGAACTGGGTCTCGTCCTCCAATCGCCTCGGCAGCGTGGTGGGGAACAGCCGGGAGTGAGGGGCCGCCTGGCTGGGTCCACACCCGCCCAGCTCCTGAATGGTGGTGTCTGGGTTGGTCCAGGCTCAAGGCGGTTAAGAGAAATGTTTTCTCTTCTCACCTGAACCATTCAGAGCAGCCTGCGTGGACAGCAGCCGTTCCTGCAGGTCCCCGTCCTCGCTTTCCCTGGGGTTGGAAACGGCTTTGTTTTGAGTGTGTGCCCCTCTTTTGTCCGTGTGTGTGTTCCTAAGTCATCCTCACAGTCTGCCAGACCCCTAACCTCGCGTTTCAGCGCACAGACCTCCGGCAGCTCTGAGCCATCTCCCGCTCCCTCTGGCCTCTCTCTCTCGCTCCCTCTGCCCCTCCTCCTGTCGCAACACGGGGCTCCTGTTCCCGGCCGTCCTTCCTTCTCAGGAAGACCTGGGAACCGGCTCCCTTGTTTTGGTGGAGCGAATCCTTCAGTAGCTTTCTGAGAAAGGATGTAAGGGAGGTGTGAGCTCTGAGCACTGACGTTTGAAACCTGTTTCTGTTTTTCCCTCGTGTGTTTGATAATTTGGCTCTGGGTAGGATTATAGGTGAGAAATCGTCCTGCTTTGGGATTTTAAAGGCATTTTGCTGCCTCCTAGCTGGCGGGTGGCCTGGTTTCTGAGGGGTGATGGTGGGGCCTGTTTTCTGGAAGCTGTCAGTACTCCCCTGGTCCTAGGCCTTCAGATCTCACCACCCGGGGCCTGGTGTGGCCGTCTTTGCATTCCTTGCGCTGCTGGGCACCTCATTCTGTGAATGTGGGTCCTTCTGTTCTGGAATTTTCTTTGTATTGTTTCTCTGATAATTCTTCATTTTTTGCTCTCACCTGGAACTCCCGTCGGTTAGGTGTGGGCCCCTGAATCGATCCCCCGGCTTTCCTGTCTTTTCTCTCCCTTTCTTCCTCTGTCACATTGTCCAACTTTTACGGAACCTCCTCAGTTTCATCTTCCATCCTCGACTGAGCATTGTATTTCTTTAATCACCGTGTCAGTCTCTGCACTTGCTCCCACTTTCCCAGCTTGTGTTTCCCTGTGACTTCTCCCCTCCCGGGCTCTGGTTTCACTCTATCTGTCCTCAGAGTCGGTTAGTTACCATCATTGGTGGCACACCAGCGCTGGTGGTGACACAGCCATTGTCAGAAACCGAATCACGTAGACTTCAATAAACCATGTTAAGAGCAGAGGTGCAGATACACGTACTCAGAACTCACCACTTCCTGAGCATCTCACTGTCACCTGCTCTCGGGGCCACATGCCCCTTGTGTCCGTGTGGTGGAAAAACCATCACTGGTGCGCTGCCGTGCAGCTTATCCGTCCCTCGTTCACAGCATCACATTGGGAGCTTGAAAGCAGCATTTACACCCTAGAAATCAGCGTATGCTGCAGAGAAGGGCGCCCCACCCCGACCCCCGCCCCAGGAGAGCCAGGTGTTAGGGTTCGCCAGCACGGCCCGGGTCAGCTCGTCTGCTGTCTGTCTAGCTTCCAGGGCTTGTTCACGTCCTCACCCTGGTTCATCCTTTTGTCCTTTTAGACTGTCACTTAGCCAGTTGGAGGAGAGAGTTGAGATAAATCTCTGTCCTGGGTGACGGATTCCAAGGAGGGACTCTGGTGTCTCCTGCGCCTGGGTTCTGAGCCTGGCTGCGGTGGACGCGTGGCTGCCCCAGAGGAGTGGCCTCTGTGCCGAGTAGGGGCTCGGTCTTGTCGTGGGCCCTTCAGACCTTTCCCCCCAGCAGAGACACGGCCCCCACTGCTGTTGGAGAGCAAGAGAGACCTCCTGTGGGCCTCCTGTCCCTGCCCGCAGCCAGGGGCACATGGCACCAGACCCCAGGCACGCTCCTTCTGTGCCTGGTAGGGACGTCTCTGAGCCCGAGTGTTTTTTAAATAAACTTTATTTTCAAGAGCAGTTTCAGATTCACGGTGAAATTGAGTAGAAATCACGTGGAGTTCCCTTTTACCTCATCCCCTAATGTGCGCAGCCTCCCCTGTGTCATGATCCCACTGCAGAGCTGGTGGGGGTGGTGGGCCCGTGGCGGGGAGGGAGGGGGCACCCTCTGAGCTCCACCTGTTCATCCCTCCCTCCCCTCTGACCCCGGCAGCCACTGCCCTTCTCACTGCCCTGACGTGGAGCTTTCTGGAAACCCTTAGCTGTCAGGGAGCTCAGAGCGCGGGAGCCACTGCCAGTTACTCTCAGTCACTCGGAGAAACCATCTTCTCGGGTAAACCAAGGAGACTGTGAAGTGGCATTTACACAGACGTGCTTGGACAGGTTCTGAATGGTGCTGACAGGCAGCGCACGCACAGCCTTGCAGACGGGCTGAGCTCTGTGTGTCCAGATACGGCCCGGGCGGAAACGTGGAGGGACGTGAGACGGGAGAGGCTGGATAGAAGGTGGACCAGGGTCGTCCACTCGGGTTTAATCTGAGTGAGAAACATTTCACCTGAGGAAATATGCTCGGATTTACATTAAAAACATAATTCTGGCTGCTGCTACTCTTTGGTAAATGTGCTATAGGGAGGTTGAATCTGTTTGGAATTGTATTTGACTGCTGGTAACAAAAATCTGAACAACAGTAATCTCTTTAATAGTTTATTAGCAAGTCTAGAAGTAGGCAGAAGAAAGCAGGTGTAACGTCTCCAGCATGTCTGCCTGGTTCTTGTGGATGTCTACCTGGTTGTTCTTAGAATGAGACCTTTATCTTTCATGTTCGCAAGGTGGCTGCCAGAGCTCTGGCCATCAAACTTGAGTTCCAGGCAGCAAAAGGAGGAAAGGCTGAAGGCAATAATGCGAACACTAGCTGAGTCAGCCTCCTTTAAAGAGCTCTCCTGAAATTCCTACCTAATAACTTCTCTTCACAGTTCTTTGGCCAGAACTGCCACCAGGGAAGCTGGGAGATGTGGTTAACCGGCCACACTGCCGTCCCAGGTAAAATCAAGATGCTGTTAGTGACAGTGAAGGGATGTGGATTCTGGGGCAGAAACACAGGGATCTGTGCCATGCCGAGTGGTGGTGGTAGAGATGGACCTCCCCGAGATGGACCTGCGGACGTGCTGGGCAGGCTCCCGGCACTCCTCCCCGAGTGGGGCATCATCTGCACAGACAGCTCTTCCCGCGGCCTCATCCTGTGCTGCAGGCTTCTGCAGGAGCGCTCGGCCTTCGCTGGATGCTCCGTGGGGTTGCCTCATGGGTGGAGCACGGTGGGCACGTGGCACAGTTTGAGGCCTCGCCTGGCATCTGGAGCCGCCTCGTGCCTCATTCCCCCAGTGAGGGCAGGAGAGCAGAGTCTCCCCCCTGCCCCCGGGCCCGGGGTGAGGGCGTCGTGCGTCTGCTCTGAGGAGAGTGAGCGCTCGCGGCCCTCTCTTCCTCCCCTCCCGGCCTGCGTCCTGGCTTCCTGGCCCATCTGCTACTGCACTTAGAGTGGGGGTCGCCCTTGCCGCGGGGCGTCGGAGCCGGCCGTCCCTCTGGGTCTGCAGCGTGGGGTTCAGCTTGCAGATTGGCGCCTGTTTCTGTAAGTAGTTGTGTTAGTGCGCGGCCAGGCTCGTCCACTGACGCGGCACCTGTGGCTGCTTTCGAGCTCCCACGGACTCGAGTGGCTGGGACAGAGGCTGCAGGGCCTGCAGAGCTGGATGCCCGTCGGCCTCTGCAGAAGAGGAGAGCCGGCCTGCGCCCGGGATGCGCCACCCCCGGGGAAAACGGGGGGCTCAGATGTTCCCTGACTTCAGGATGGAGGACGGACACTGGGAGGATGGGAGCCTGGCTGGGCACGCGTTCAGGCTGGGAAGAGGAACGGAGGAGGGGCTGCCCGAGCGAGGAGGGCGGGCGAGCAGATGAGGCCTGGCCATGCCTGGTGTCCGGCCTTCACCCGGCGGCCCCAGTGGGCAAGTGCTCGCAGGGAGAGGCCCCTGTGAGTCTTTCCTTACGGGGTGGAGCAGGGCGGTGGCAGTGCCCCACGCCCACATAAAAAATAAATCCAAGAAAAAGAAAGAAGGCCTTGCTGACCCTTGACACCAGGGTCACCATCTACTTCCCAGGTGGGATGAAGAAGGGAGCCAGGAGGGCTTCTTGGAGGCAACGACTTGACCAGCAAACAGGAAGCCGGAACTTCTCCCAGAACCCTCTTGGGGGGTTCGGTGTGGCCTGAGGTGTTGGGGAGCCGCAGGGCAGGTGGCTGGACACACACGGGTGTGTGGCAGGTTGTGGGCCCAGGGAGGCGGAGCTGAGAGAGGACTATCGGGGAGGGAGTGAGGCTGCCCCTCAGATGTCCCTGAGACGGTGAAGTCAGGAGGCTGAGGGCGATGACAGGGTAAGGAGAACATTCTGGAGAGGGCCTTGGCGTGTCAGTTGGACTCACAGACCTGGAGGCAGGTTGGCTGGCCGGGCAGAAGGAAGGGAAGGAGGTGAGGATGGCTGACTCCCAGGGCCTCCTGGGGAGCAGGGGCGAAGGGGCATGGAGGGAGGGGCAGGGGTGTGGAGGGAGGGGCTGCTCCGCCACCTTGCAGAAGAGGAAAGTCAGGGTGAGGTGGGGCTCCCGGGACGGCACGTCCGTGAGGTGCAGGTTCTGCTGTGACTTCGCTGTGCTCCCCGAGTGTGGTCAGCGAGAGTCCTGCCTCTGCCCGGCCGGTGTTTCCGTTTAAGCTCCTTCCTGAGAAGAAGACTGCCTCACAGTCTCGCTGGGATCCTGGCCGGGCCCTCGGGCTGGGGCCAAACCCTGGCCCTTGATGGCCCCGATTCACTGGTCTGGAGCAGGGTCATCCCGCAGCTCCCGGCAGGGAACCTTCCCGACGGCGTGTGGGGCTGAGCAGGTACGGGGCCAGGCCTCCCTGAAACCGGGCCGAGTGTGGGTGCCAGAGCCCTGTGCACCCTGGCCCTCGATGTCTGCTCAGCACAGGCCTGTTCTGCAGTGAGGGGCTTCTCCTCGGTGACGAGTCACAGCCCGTGACCACTGTTCCCGTGGCATGCTGGCTTCTTCAGGCAAGGCTGGAGTAGGGGGCCACAGGGGTGGCCCTGTCCCCTGCAGCCCAGCCACTCCTGCATGGACAGGTCATGCGTGTGTGCACATACGTGTGAGCTTGCACATGTGTGTGTGTGTCAGCCCCTGTGTGGCCCTCTTTGGTCTTCTGCTCTGGCCGTTTTCCCTGATGAGCAGTGCAGGCATGGGGAAGCCGGGGTCTCCAAGGGAAACTGAAAGCCTGGTTTCCCTCTCTTCCTCTCCATCACGTTACCCACTGGACGGGGGGACGCTGGGCAGCCAGGCGGGCGTCCGTCCCCAGTCTGGGTCCGATGTCTGTCCTGCATTCCTGGCCAGCCTGAGGGGCGAGACGCACTGACTCCTGTAGCCCGGCTTCGCTCCCGGGCTCCGGGGTGTGGTGTCTGTGTGGGGCTGTCCCTCTTGCCCCCAGCAGATGGAGTGCGGTGGGGATGTGGTGAGAGGGGGGTTGGGGGGTGTTGTTGCCACAGGTCCTGATGGTAAACCCCTCCTTCTCACTTTCTTCCAGAGTTTCTTCGGAAGGCCGTAGAGAAGCACACCGTTTAAGAACCAGGTGGCCTTGGGCGTTTGCGGTGGCCGGAGTGGCCGGACCTTGCCCAGCGTGCTGGGAAATGCTGGTCCTCGGACACACGTCGCCCTCCCTCCAGGCTGTGCTGCGGGTCAGGGCCCCGAGGCTCTGAACAGCGTCCACCCTGACACCCCCCGCGGCCTCCGCTGCCGACGAGCGCTTGCTGCAGACGCCCCCGCTGCGGCGCCTGCTGAGGAGGATGTGGCTGCCCGTCGGGGGGCTGCTGGCCACCCTCGCCGTGGTGGTTGGAACAGCAGTGGCGTTCGCACCCAGCCCTAGGATCACCTGGGAGCACCGAGGTGAGGGCAGTGCTGAGTCAGGCCTGGGGCCCCTGAGGGCGTCTCCCTGCTTGTGATGCGCAGATGCACATGCGTCCTTTGCTCTGCTGGGGCCGTGCTGCTGGCCCAGGTGTGAGCACACGGCCTGCACCGCTGCTGCCGCGGAGGCTGCTGGTGAGGCTGCGGTGCTAGGAGCACGGCAGGGCCTGCTCGGGGCTGCTGGTTTCTAAATCAGGGCGAGGGGACCCCTGAAGGGAAGCTTGTCTCCCTTGTGCCTGACCACACTGGTGCTCGCTGCCCAGGCACGGACCACACCGAGGGGTATGTTTTGAGGACGTTTAATGACGTGAAGCTGAGCTTGGGGCCACTTGTTTTCATTTGCTGTTCATAAGTTGTTTCGTTGCTCCCTCTCTTGGGAACTGTGTCTTGGGACCCCCTCTCCTCCAGGCTCGGTGGGCGGAGAGCTCGAGCGCTGGTCCCCATGGAGGTGCGCTGGCAGGGCTGCGCTGTCTCGGCAGACGTGCCGGGAGAGCCTTCGTCCTGTGTGCATCTCTCCTAACTGGGAAATTGGAGCGAAAGTGTGAGCACAAATCCTGGAACAAAACCAGAGCTTGGTGATGCTTGGAAAGCCAAGCGCAGAACACTCACGACGCTCTGAGTCTTGGATGCTGGGTGGTCGGAAAGAGGAACAGCCCCTCAAGACAGAAAGCCAACATGCCTAAACACCTCGTCCTTAAATTCCTCATGTTCCTGAATAGCTATTGATGCAATTAACAGAGCAGTGGAAAAATGCTTGGGTTAAGGGATAGATTTACTGAAATAGATTTTCTTTCAAAGTTTTAAAGTCAGTCATTTTTTTCCTAAATGAGAAAATCCTAAATAGTTATATTTTTGATACACCTAATCTGTGGATAATTAAGCACATAGACAAGAGTTTGATGAGAGGCAGAGGGAGCCACAGCAGTCAGCGGCTTGAGGGGTCTGGCCTGCGGTCTAGTGGGAGGTCACAAGGTCAGACTGCCAGGAGCTCGTGCTCCAGAAAGGTCACACTGCTGGGATGTCACACTGCTAGGAGGTCATGTTGCTAAGAGGTCATGCTCCTGAGAGGCCATACTGCCAGGAGGTCACATGCTAGGAGGTCATGCTCTGGGAGATCACGCTGCCAGGAGGCCACACTGAGTGCAGGGTTTGGAAGTGCTGGATGGAGGGAGCAGGAAGGGAAATCGGGCCCCAGCACTGGTTGAGCCCAGTGCTCTGGGGCCTCACAGGGTCCCACGTACTTGGTGGCGGCCTTGGTGAGTCTGCTCCACCCAGAGGTGCCTGAGTTCTAGCCTCTGCTGGGGGCTGGCCACTGTGGAAGCAAATCCCTGCCTGGCCCTTGGGACATGTCGGTGCACTAAAGGGAGGTCAGACACTGGGGTGTGTCCAGGCTCAGCAATGCCTGATGCACCTGTGTTGCCCCCCCCCCACCGCCCTTTTCTCCCCTAGAGGTGCAGCTGATGCAGTTTCACCAGCCAGGCATCTTCAACTACTCGGCCTTGCTGCTGAGTGAGGACAAGGACACCCTGTACGTGGGCGCCCGGGAAGCCGTGTTTGCACTGAATGCGCTCAACATCTCCCAGAAGCAGCACGAGGTATGGCGTGGGCTCCCACTCCCCTGCTGTCTGGGCCGCAGACCTGCCCGGTGTGTTCTGGAATCTGCACACTGGGCTGTACCCGGGGCGTCAGGCCCTTTCCTGGCCGTGTGGCCTGCTCACCGTGCATGTCCTGTGCCTCTAGCGAGCAGCCTCCCACCCTCAGCAGACCAAGGGCCCTGTCATCCCGAAGCTTCCTTTGCCCCCTGTGTCCGTTCAGCCTCATCCCAGGATGCCCCCTGGCAGCCTGTCCTCGCTGGGCTGGCGGCTCACCCACACTCCTTTCATCTTGGATTTTGAACTTTTTATTACAGAGAATCTCAAGCATAACAGGAGCAGAGGGAGTGATGTTAGAGCCGCCTGGCCACGGTGGCTCCTGCAGGCCAGGGGCTCCACCCCGTGCTCCCTCCTGCCTCCCTCCCATGGCCACGTCCTCTGCTCCCTCCAGGAGGCTGGGGAGCAAATCCAGACACACGTTCTTCATCCTTCATCTGTAAATGTTTTCCTGGGCATCTCCTAAAGGAGAGGACTCCTTTTTTTCAAACTAACCGAAATACCTTTATCGCATCCAAAAATTTAATGTCGTCACATAGTGAATGTTCAAATTCCACAGGCTCTCTCATAAATGATGTTTGTTCAGTTTGAATCGGGTTGAAATCAGGCTGTCTGTGTGGCCAGGCACTCTGTCCGCTGGGGGTCCCCCCATCCTCCCTGAGAGGCAGGATCATCCCCCTGGCCGGGCGTTCCCTCTCCGGGCCCTTGACCATCGCAGCCTGGAGCCACGTGTGCAGATGGCACGATGGGACAGCCGGCTCCACCTTCCCTTCTCCATTTGGAAGCCAGAAATTGTCTCTAAAGGGGAAATTCTCGTTCCCCGAGGCCAGTTCCTTTGGAAACGGCAGGATCAGCACATGAAATCTCTGCCTTTATTCACCAGTTTTCAAAATAGTGTGACTTCTCTGCAGAGGGAGACAGTGAGTTTTTGACTGTTTAGTTTTCCGTATGGCCATGGACTCGCGCATTTAAAGATGTCTGAAGTGCCTTGATCCGCTCCAGCCACTTCCTCCCTTGATGCTCCGGTTGTCCCTTCCCTGGCCCGTGGCAGCCTCCCCATGCCTCCTGAGTCCTCAGACAGACCCTGGTGGTTGGCATAGTTCCTTGTTCTCTCGAGCCAAGATGGTCCAGGCTCATCGTGTGCATTTTCTGCCCCAGACCTCTTATTTTTTTTGGATTTGTTTTGTCTTAATCTCCAGAGTCTAGCCTAGTACTTAATTTCTGTTTCACACATAAATGAGATTCTCGTCACTACCCTTTGAAAATAAAGTGCGTGTGCCAGCCCTGTGGGCGCTCAGTCAGAGTGGCCATTGCTCTGTTAATGGCCTCGTGTATGTAAAAGAGAAGAAAAAGTGAAAGGACCACGGCTGAGCTTCAGTGAAAAGCCCGTGACCGTGATGGAGGGCCTGGCAGAGTTCGTGGTCCTTGTGCTGGTGCATTCCATGTGGACGGTGATGACATCGTCTGCATTTAACTTCTGAAGAAGTTGCTCTGTGAAATGGGCCTTGGTTCTGCATTCATGTGGCCTGGTTAGGACTTCCAGTTCTCTGAAAGCGTTCTCGTCAGCGTGTCTGCTGTTGGGGCCTTTGCGGGAAGCCAAGCTAGTGTAGAAGGACACACCCAGGGCTTCGGCCCACTGCCATCAGGAAGCTCCCTGTGCCTCCTGAGTTCTGAGCTCCCAGTGCCCAGCAGCTGGCTTTGATTCTCTGGGTGTAAAAAGATATATACCTGAGTTTGCATCAGTCACAGGATGTCAAGGAAGTGTGGGGAATCTGGGGGAGGGGAGGCAGGAGTATGGGGGCCTTCCATTATGCAGGCTGGGTGTTTTCTATCCTCTGGAGGGCCAGGGGCCAGGCACCTGCTGGCCTGACGGGTTCTGGTGGCCTGTGCACCTGCCGTGAAAGGAGCAGGGGCTCAGATCTCTATAGGAAGGTGCTGGACCTGAGGGGCCGTGCCAGTCCATCACTTTCAGCAGCTGCTCTTAGAAAAAATTGAAAGCATTGCCATCCAGCCATCCCACTGGTACTCAGAGTCAATGTCAAAATGTCAGGGCTTTTTTTCACTAGCCTCTGGAGTCCCTTTTGAACGAATGAAAAGCCCCACTTTGGTGTTTGCGAATACCTACATTTAGCTTTCTGATGGATAATTGAATCCGCCCCACTGTCCGTGGCGTAGTTTTGCTGCTGTTTTGCAGCGAGTAGCAGGGACCTGGCATGGCTTCCTGGCCCTGCGGCTTCTGGAGGAGGACGGCGCAGGAGGACGGCGGCTTCGCGAAGCCCGTTGCTCGTGGGCCTCAGCGTTGTCGCCTCAGCCTCGCTTTGCGGTCTCTGGTTTCGCCGTCCCGGGGGACGTCTGTGCTCTGAACGCCCGCGTGTGCTTTGTAAGCTATATGTCTGTACCCAGCTCTCTGTGCACTGAAACGACTCCCCTTCCCCAACAGGCATACTGGAGGGCTTCCGAAGATAAAAAAGCAAAATGTGCGGAAAAGGGGAAGTCAAAGCAGGTAATTTCTTCTGCCAGCTACAGACCATGCCATGCTCGTTTCCAGGTGGTTGAATCTCCTGTGGAAGCCCCTGCAGCTCCTGGATGTGCCAGCGCGGGGCCAGGCCCCAGGTCCCTGCGGGCGTGGCTCTGTTACCACGACCCCTCTTCAGCTCCTTCTGTTCCCAAACGCTGAGATTGGCTCTCAGAGCAAGTGCCAGACAGAGAAATGCTTCTTAAGGTTTAACTGAATTGAATTTATTCAGATGGCCTAAAACTCGGACCACAGAGGACAGTGTCTGTGCGTGCTGGCTAATGGGGTCAAATGCAGGGTTGCTGTCTCCCTGCACCGCGGCCTGGAGGGGTTGCTCTGGGAACTCTGGATTTTTGGAAACACCCATCCCTTGAGAACCTGCTCCTTCTCTAGGAGGTATTGGTCACCTCAGCGTGGTGGCCATCCGGGGAGCACTGGGCCAAGTGTCCACCCACCTTGGGAGCGCTGGGTCGCCCCCACCCCCAGGCTGCCCTACCCCTAACTGGTGCCGGGCCGATATCGGGGTCTCTGAGCATAAGAGCCCCGTCTTTCCTGACGGTGGGTCAAGACAGCTGAGTGACGGGAAATTTCAGCGGTGGTTGGCTATTTCAAAACAATTTAAAATCCTAAAAAAACGTTTTTTGCCAAACTTTTTTAGTAAAATGCTAAACACTGTCACTGAAGTCACTAGATCTGAAGTTGCTGCAGGAGATGAGAGAAAGCGCAGGTGTTGTGATGGCGTCACTGGGGGAGCTGGCTCAGAGCGAATTAGAGCGAGCGCTGGCCTGGCCCCGGGGAGGGCATGGAGTGGACGGGGTCCCTCCCAGTTCTCGCGGGGGAGGATGAGTTACTTCCAGCCAGTTTAAGAACAGTCATAGCAAAAAAGCTCCCCTGAGCAGAGATGACTTCAGACAATAGCACATATAATCCAGTACATTTCAGCCTGAAATAGTGAGCGGCTTCTTAAGTGGCATCTGGTTTTCCTGTGGGGCTTTCTGACGTGGAGCCAAGCCGGAGCCCCTCATTAGTTCAGCCTCTCCCCTGAGTGGGGCGGGCCAGATGCCCCCCCCCCCGAGAAACGCTGTCCCCAGGTCTGTGCATTGGAACGTGGAGGGGGACCCCAGAGAAGAGGCGGGCAGAGGGCTTTTGCCCAGTGTACACCTCTGGCAGTGCCGCGAACCATCTATGTGTTCAGTGAAGTAAACACGTTTTTTCTGTGTCCCAGTCCGATTTGAGGTTTTGGTCAGCACGTCTTTTCAGAGTATAAATTAGTGACTGAAGTGACATCTGTTTGGCACCTGCCAGCTGGCCTGTGGACGCTGCAGGGGTGAAGGTTCTCGGGCCCACTGCAGATTTGAGTTTGTCCGGACGGAGCTGGGTCTCGGCCGCTGCTCCCGCCGTCCTGGGCAGGGCAGAGCCCCCGGAGCTGCAGAGCCTGGAGACGGGAGGCTGGCAGCGAATGCAGCCGGGGCTGGCGTCCTGAGCTGTGATGAGCTGGTGTCGGCTTGTGCTCTGCTGGTCTCTGCTCTGAGGGAGTGGGGTGCACGGTTCACACCGTGGGGGGCATCTGCTGGGAGCTGGATGGTGCTGACCGTGCATTTCTCTCCTGTAGACAGAATGTCTCAACTACATCCGGGTGCTGCAGCCGCTCAGCGCCACCGCCCTCTACGTGTGCGGGACCAACGCGTTCCAGCCGACCTGTGACCACCTGGTAAGGCCGTGGCACCTCCCTGGTCAGTGGCTAGAGCACAGTGGGGCTCCAGGTGGCATGCAGTGGTGTCCACTCGGCTAAACGTAGGATTTTCTGATTGCCAGCTGCGTGGGGATGGGGCAGCTCATGGCTTCTTGGAGCCCTGGTGTCCGATCTGTAAAGCACTGTGACCGAGGGTGTGGCCGCGGTTTGGAGCTGGCAGTGGGAGGACCTTCTGAGAAGTGTGTTGTTGACAGACAGGAGCCCCGCTGTGCTGTGATCCAGCATCTGGCCTCTCCTGTCACAAGGGAGGGTGGCCTGGCTGTGACACAGGTCCTGTCAAGTGGAAAAGTCAGGACTTCTGCTCCTCGATTGCGTGTTCTTGGTTCACGCATGTTATGGACTGAATGTTTGTGTCCCCCCAAAGTCCATGTGTTGAAGCCCTTATCCTCCTGAGCGACGATATTTGGAGCTGGGGCCTGTGAGGCGGTAATTAAGGTTACCTGAGGTCATGAGGCTGGGGTCCTGATCTGATGGGATGATGGCCTTACAAGGAGAGGAGGAGACAGCAGAGCTCTCTCTCCCCCATGTGAGGACACAGCAAGAAGGTGACGGCCATCTGGAAGCCAGGAGGGGGTTCCTCACCTGGACTGACCGTGCCGGTACCCTGGTCTCAGACTTCACCCGCAGAGCGTGAGGAGTGAACGTGTGTGCTCGAAGCTGCCCGTCGGGGTGCTGTGTGGCAGCCCGAGCTCGCTAGCACGGGTGTCTGCTGCTCTGGTCTTGGGGCGTCTCCATCCGCTGTCTGCTGTTGGGTGCGCGTTGCCCCCTGATCCACAGTTCTGTGACCTGCCCTTCTGAGTGGCGACAACACGACACGAGTGTGCTGAGCTCTTGTAGAAGCAGGCCCATCTCTCTCCCTCCCCTGCGTCACAGCCTGGACTCTCCCTGAGCCATGTCAGTTGCATCTCACCACGTTGGGGTCCTTTGGAGTGGGACCCCGGTCTACACCGCCCTCCGGCACTCCCCATTCCCTCGCTGACACGTACCTGGAAGGAGAGAGGGAAGACGGCAGTGTTTCTTGGAGAGGAACTCCTTTTTCCCCGATACCTGAGAGCGTTTGATAACAACCACAGAGACAGGGAGAAGGCCGTTTGAATGCACGTGAGGATTGAGAATGAGGCACGTTTTCTAGTGACTGCCCCTGGTTCAGTGTGCCGGTCGGGTGTCAGGTGTGCCGGAGTGGGAAGCTTAGTTTGCTAGAAGCCAAAAGTAACTGAGACTTAAAAGAACCTTTCCCAGCCTCGAGTCAGAGATCGATGATAGGACGGAGCACGAGCGGATTAAGGGCTTGCTTAGGAGTCCTTGTATCCACACACAGACCCCCGGGTGGGGTCCACACGCAGCGTGGGTCTCCCGGGCTGTCTGTACCCACAGATGCAGGTGACAGAGGTTAGTATGGGGGTGGGAGTGCCCCCAGGTGCTGAGATCCTCAGTCCTCAAAGCCAGACTTCGTTTCTTTGTGCTTAAGGGAAAAAAAGCATCCAAAGGCCTATTAGAAACATTTTGCACATCAAAGGATTTCCTGGCTAAACTCTAGTTAATCAGAAGCTTAAAGCACTGAAATTTAAACTTTAATTCCACGCACATGTCAGTTGTTGAGATAAAGGAATTGTCTGTTTTGTTTAAATCTGACCTATGATTTTTCCCAGTACTTTGAGTAAAAGTTTTCAAGCTGCCAGAAAAGTTGGTCAGACGCGTGTATCCTGACCTCCTAGACGGCACAATGGGGAACGTCTCTGTGCACACGTGTGTGTATGTGCACACGTGTGGACGTGCTGAACCGTGACCTGTAAACGCCATCATGAGCCTAAGAATGATGACATTTTCCTGTAAAACGCCAAGTTTGTCATTTTATCTCAGAAGATTTACAGTAATTCCCTGGTGCTATCTCCAGCCCCTCAGATTTCCCGCTGGCCCCCAGACGGACTCTGGAGATGGGATCCAGGAATCCCATCAGGCGGGGTGCACTGCCGCCCCATTCATAATCCTAACCTAAGAGGTGAAGTCGCGTATCGTGTTACCCAGCCTGTTAGAAATGTAGCCGGCGCTGTTCACATCCCGGGAGCCCTCTCTGCTCCTGTGTTTGTGACGGGGTTCCCATCTCGTCCGCCGGCCCACCGGGGCGCCCAGCTGGCCCGGGGGAACGGTTCCCACCTTGATTGCCGTGCTTCCTGGGTTCCGCAACCCACGAATCCTTTCTCGCGTCCGCTGCCCCGATGGGTTTCTCCTTCTCTAACTTGCTGTTTGGGACCGTTTTCATCTTCCTCCTGGGATGCTCCCTCACCCCTTCTTCTACCGATGCTTCTCATATGCGCAGGGACGCAGCACTGCGTTGGTCATTTTGCAGGCATTTTCCCCGTTTGTCCCTTCTCATTGAACTCTGTCTCCTGTTTTCTGTGGACAAGAGCTTTCCAGTTCTTTGAATGGTGGCTCTGTCCGCGTTGTCCCGACTGGGTTGGGGCCATCTCGTCAGCGGGAGAGAGACTGTCCCGAGACGGAAGTCGCTGCCCGTACTTTGAGTTAATGCAGCATCGTCCCATTTCCAACATCCACACCACTGAGCCGCCTGGACTGGGTCTGCTGGGGGGAATGAGAAGAGATTCTGCTGCTCTTCCCATCATCTGTGTACTGGATAGTCTGGTCTCCACTGCTGTGAACGCCATCTCTGTTGATGTTAAAATTCTGCAAGTAGGGGCTGGCCCGGTGGCACAGCAGTTAAGTTTGCACATCCCTCTTTGGGGTGGCCCAGGGTTTGGTGGTTCGGATCCTGGGCGCAGACCTGCACACTGCTTATCAAGCCATCCTGTGGCAGCATCCCGCCTGTAAAGTGGAGGAAGGTGGGCATGGATGTTAGCTCAGAGCCAGTCTTCCTAAGCAAAAAGAGAAGATTGGCAGCAGATGTTAGCTCAGGGCTAATCTTCCTCAAAAAAAAAAAATTGCGCACATGGCCTTCTGGTCGCTTCCCAGGTGCATCCTGTGTTTGGTCTGCTCTGGCGGCTTGATGCCCCGAGACCCGTCAGCACTGCCATCTCTCTCTTACAGCTGAGCAAACTGAGGCTCAAGATCTTGAGTGGTCCTCAGGGGGCATCAAAGCAAGGGTCCACGGCGCCCGTATCCAGACCCGGGACTTGGGGGCTGGCCACACAGGCACCGCTCCCGCCGTCCCCCCGGATAGTGAGTGTGTGAGAGCGAATGGTGCGGTGGCAATGTGTGTACTGTCTGCCGAAACGCAGACAGTGGATGATACGCTTTCTTCCCGTTCAATTGTAGGACTTAACATCCTTTCAATTTCTGGGGAGAAATGAAGATGGCAAAGGAAGGTGTCCCTTTGACCCGGCACAAAGCTACACGTCGGTCATGGTCGGTGAGTCCAGTCCTTGGACCTCCTCGCTGGGGTAGCTCTGCTGTCATGCTGAGGCCACAGCACAGGGCGCCTGGTTCCTCCTCCGCTCCGTAGTCCCCCTCTGCCCCGTTCCCATATTTGTTCGTCCTCACAAAAGGTGGGGGAGCCTATCCAGAGCCCCCAATATGGGCTGAGTTCATTGTTCACAGGGATACCCAGGCACTCCCCTGGTCCACAGATAGATCATTTTATATCCGTCGTTGGTACAAATCATCTGGGTTATTCAGTTCTGTGGGGTCGTTGTTCCTGTTGGGGGGGTTTGTGACCAAGCCACCGGCTGCCTCGTAACAGTCTTGCACGCCGAGGCGAGGGGGCCACATGCCCCGTGTTTACCCACTGTCACATTTATTTTCTGGGATGTGGGAATTACCCGCTGGTGTTAGTTTTTGCCCTTCACTCTCACAAAAGACAGCTGACCCCGGAGCATAAAATTACCCCTGTCAGAGAAACGAAAGGGAAGACTCCGGAAACAGGCGCAGGAGCTGGGCAGTGGCTGCTCCACCTGCCAGGAGGGGCGTGCATTAGGTGGTAAAGGAGAGCGTGGTGGTGGGCACCTGTCCCTGGCGTTGACTCCCTTTTCCTCTTTCCTCCTGGTCCACTGCAGATGGAGAGCTCTACTCCGGGACATCCTATAACTTCCTGGGAAGCGAACCAATCATCTCCCGGAATTCTTCGCACAGCCCTCTGAGGACAGAGTACGCCATCCCTTGGCTTAATGGTAAGAAGCAGGTGGGTCACGGTGGGGGTTCCCCCTTGGGTTGCCTCCTGGCAGGGGAGCCCCGCTAGATTTCTCCTCTTGCTGGCTCCGGCTGAGCCTCCTGGGCGGCGTCTGCAGCTGCTGTCAGCCCCATGCGGGGGGGGGGGGGGCGTGGGGCGCCTGCAGAACGGCCCGGAGCTGCACGGCAGCATCTGGGGGCGGCCTACTTTCTTCTCCGCTGAGAGAGCCTGTTTTAAGGGTGCTCTGGCCCCTTCCTGAAAGTGGATCTGGGAGGCTCACACGCAATGAGAATCTGATGGCCAGCCGTGAATTCAGGCTGGTCAGATCGGTGTGTGATGTCATATTGTTACCTCTGGACGTTGAGCATCCGTGTTGGACTTGCGCTGTGGGTGGCTCATAGCTGCTCACACCAGGCTTTTCTTGTGGGCGCTGGCCAGCGGGCCCTAGACTCTCGGAGGGGCTGATCTGGGAGACTACAAATGCGCATCTTCTGGGAGTCTCCAGGTGCCGTGGGATGTGGCTCCCTGGGACCCCCAGGCTGCTTGCCTGTCGGGAGACCCAGCCCTGGGTTCTCGGGGTGGACCAGGAGGGTATTCTTCAGAACCCCCATCATGGGCACCTCTGTAGCCCAAGGAGGGCGATGTGGGCACTGTCATCACCCCTGGACCCTGGATTTCGGGGCATGGCATACACACCCTCCCTCGTCCTTGCGCGGAGGTGCCTGGGCCCCTCTGTGTGTGCGAGGGTAACCGGGGGTCTTCTGCAGAGCCCAGCTTCGTCTTTTCTGACGTGATCCGGGAGAGCACAGACGGCGCCGAGGGCGAGGATGACAGGGTCTACTTCTTCTTCACGGAGGTGTCTGTGGAGTACGAGTTCATCTTCAAGTTGATGATCCCCCGGGTGGCGAGGGTGTGCAAGGTGAGCCGTTCCCCCAGGTTCTTTGGTCCCGGCGGTGGCGATAGCACGTCTGGAGGGTCGGTCACTTCGCCCAGGCTCCGTGCTTCTTGGAAATGTCAGTTTACCTACTGCTATCTTCTCCTGTGCCGCAGGCGTTGGTGCGGAGGGGGTCGGCGGTGCACGGTGGCCTGGAGGTCTCCCTGGGGGCCGAGGGAGCGTTGGCGCCCGTGTGTGATGAGTGATGGGCTTCCTGTCCTCAGGTGGTCTGCTTTAGACACGCCTCCGTCCAACCCCCCCCCCCCGCCCCGACCCCCGGTTATAGGAAGTTCGTTTTTGTTTACTGTGTTAACCAAATCCAGTTGGAATTGGGGTTCCACCATCCCAACGTAAAGAAGGGAAGGGGGCATTTTCATTGTGTCCAGAATGAATAAGGTCGCTTCCATTTTATGTTCCTCTGCACCAGATGTCCGAGTTTCCGTGTTTCTCCCCAGAGCAGGTCGTACGGGGTGTGTTTTATGTATCTCTTGGTGGTTGTCTCACTAAGCCGTGTTTATGGAGAACCTGGCAGGTCCTAAGCACTGAGCAGGTGACTGGGGGGTGGGAAGGAAGTGAAGACCTCATCTCCCAGGAGGAAGGTCTTAGGGGAGACCAGACCCACACGCATCGCCTGGGAGAGATGGGGAGCCAAGGCGTCTAGCCCCTGCCTCCAGGGTCCCTCACAGACGGTCCTGAGTTTGGAGATGCACTCGGCCAAGGGCCGAAGCAGGAAAGTGCACAAGGGGCATCTGCTGCCGTGAGATGCGTGTATGCAGAATCCAGTGGTGGGTCTGGCTGCAGGTGGGCGGCTCCATCGAGGAGGCATGTTGGTTGGTTGGCGTTTGGATCCTCGGTCTGGTCTGGCGTGGAAGGGGGGCCGCTGCCGCGGGCTGGTGTGCAGCCTGCTTTCCTTGCAGCCTTGGCCTGGTTCCTTTCAGGCAGAGCCGTTCTGGGCCTGGTACCTCATTTACCACCTGCTCACAAGGGAGCGTCCCCTCCTACCACACACGTCTTTGGGGTTTCAGGGGGACCTGGGCGGCCTCAGGACCTTGCAGAAGAAGTGGACATCCTTCCTGAAGGCCAGGCTGATCTGCTCCAGACCTGAGAGCAACCTCATCTTCAACGTGCTGCAGGACATCTTCGTCCTCAGGTCCCCAGACCTGAAGGAGCCTGTGTTCTACGGGGTCTTCACCCCGCAGCTGTGAGTGCCCGGGGAGGGCGGGCAGGCAGGTGGGGGCTGTGTTTCCTCCGCATGGCAGTCACATTGTCCCCTCCTCCCAGGAACAACATGGGGCTGTCGGCCGTGTGCGCCTACAACCTGTCCACGGCCGAGGCGGTCTTTTCCCGTGGGAAGTACATGCAGAGTGCCACGGTGGAGCAGTCCCACACCAAGTGGGTGAGCTACAACGGGGCCGTGCCCACGCCGAGGCCCGGGGCGGTGAGTGGGGCCCGGGCTGTGGGAGGGCCTGGGGCGCCAGACCGGCGGCTTTGGTGAGGGCCACGTGCCGCTCCAGACCTGGGGTTGTCTTCCCGGGGAGCGGGCGTCCCCCGGGACTGGGAAGGGCAATGGGCACACTCCTTGTCCTGTGTTCTCACTGGCATGTTGTGTAACAGCTCTTGCAACATACTTCCCCAACCAGAGGCTGGAGTGGCTGGCACAGGCATTTTGTGGAAGTAACATTGCATAATAGAATACGGTCTGTTTCATTTTCTGTTTCCTGTAGAGAAATGATTTCTTGGCAAAGAGAGGAATTCTGCTCTCCACTCATTAATAGGAGTCACATTTTTTCTCCTAAAGATAGTGACTTATGTGGAAATTAGTGTGGGTTTCTAGGCTGATTTGGCTGCATCCGTTCATTATGTGGCTGGGGTCCTGGGGCGTGTGCATGACCCATGGGTGGGGCTGTGACCTGGGAGAGTGGACTGCTTTCTGGAACTCACCCCAGGCCTGTCTCCCCTCCTGGGGCACACCTCCTTCGCTGACACTGGCCATCGCTCCTTCTGTGCATGTCATTAAGTAAAATGTGTTCATTTGGGGGTCACAAATTTTGGGTGACACACGTTAGGAGCTGGGACAGGAAAAAGAACCCTTCAGGCTCTTGCCCTTTATGCTGTTTAGAACTGGACTGTGCTTAGCGATTTTACCAGTCTTCTCCTGGGAGAGCTTTTGGATGTAAGTGTTTATGTTTTAATTTCCAAAGCTTGATACTTCTTTTCGCTTATAAACAGATCAGTTATGTCACTGACTGTGTCATGAAACACAATTATATCTTGTGGGTAAAATGACAGTTGCAGGGCTAGCCTGGTGGCGTAGTGGTTGGGTTGGCGCACTTGGCTTTGGAGGCCTGGGATTTGCAGGTTCAGATCCTGGGCTTGGACCTAGCACCGCTTGTCAAGCCATGCTGTGGTGGCATCCCACGTAAAGTGGAGGAAGATGGGCACAGATGTTAGCTCAGCCACAATCTTCCTCCAGCAAAAAGAGGAGGATTGGCAACAGATATTAGCTCAGGGCCAGTCTTCCTCCCTGACCAAAACAAAGACAGTTGCATTTCCTACATGCTTTATAACTGTGTCTTCAGATTCCCGGGGAAGGTCGCCTCGGTTTTTCCCCTTTTTCAAAAATCCACTGTTAGTCCCCAAGTTTTGCACCTCGCGGGAGCCCACATTCCCGTTCGAAGCATGGGCTGGGCTGTCCGCGTGCCTTAATGGGATGGTCTGCTCCCTCAGTGCATCAACCGGGAAGCACGGGCGGCCAACTTCTCCAGCTCCCTCAACCTGCCTGACAAGACCCTGCAGTTTGTCAAGGACCACCCTCTGATGGACGACTCCGTGACCCCGATAGACAACAGGCCCAAGCTGGTCATAAGCGACGTGAACTACACGCAAATCGTGGTGGACAGGACGCAGGCCCTGGATGGGGCCGTCTACGACGTCATGTTTATCGGCACAGGTGGGTAGGAGCATCAAGAGTCTGCGTGGAGCCAGCATCTCCCCGCTGACCCCAGTGGTTTGTTAGAGCATGGACGGATTTCTGAGAAGTCCCCACGCCTGTGTGGCTACAGATCTCTGTGACCATCAGAGCACCGGGGCATTGGTTAGAAATGCAGGTCCTGGCTCAGATCTGGAAATTCAGGTCTGGCGGGTCTGGCCTGGTGCAGAGGGAGCCCTCATGGTGCCCTGCAGGCTGGGCGAGAGCCACAAACAGCACGTCCCGCCTCCCTGCGCCAGCAGCCAGGTTCAAGACCTGTCCTGACCTGCTGTGGACTCTGAAGCAGGCGCTTCTGGCATGGGGACCGTGGCCAGGCACAGCAGCAGCTGGCAGGGCCCTGTGGTCAGCCCCGGGTGATTTCCAGCCGTGCCTGTGAGCAAGTGGAAGGCTCTGCCCTCACCTGCCTGGGACCCCTGGTGGGACAGCACCCCCAGAGGCCAGCAGAGCCCAGGAACCGTCTCTCGTTTGATCTGATGGCACCATGTCCCCTGTGCTGATGAAGGATCTTACTTAGAGTCCATGGTGGAACGCTAGTTCATTTTTCATAGAAAAATGAGAATAACCCACATCTCTTGTTTATGATGATTAATTTTGCCAGTGGGTTTTCCTTTTTCATTTTTAATGCAAAAACATCCGTTTCTAAGTCTCTTGTTGAGGGAACAAGTTGAGAGGAAGGAGAGTGACTGCTGGCCGCTGTGTCTGACAGTCCAGCATCATCCCCTCTGGGCACATCGCTGACCTCTGCTTTGACCTTCCAGACCGGGGCGCCCTGCACAAAGCTGTCAGCCTCAAGAGCGGCGTCCACATCATCGAGGAGACGCAGCTCTTCCCAGACCTCAAGCCGGTCCAGACTCTGCTGCTGTCTTCCAAGAAGGTAGAGTCACCTGGGCAGGGGACCTCGTGCCTCAGGATCCCCGGGCTGGGGCCGGGGCTGGGCCAGGCAGCCCCGTCGTCCTTCTGGCCCAGCCAAGCCAACCTTCGGGCTCTTAGAGAAAGGCCTTCTGTGAGCCGTGCGATTTGGGGCAGAGGGATGGTGAGCTGGGGAGACGGAACTGTCCCCTAAGAGTCGGCAGAACCTCACTGAGTTGCTGGGCCGACTTCTGATGCTGTGGGGTGCGCCCTGGACCGTGAAAATATTCCTGTACCCTGACCTGGTGAGGCTGAGACCCCATCAGCGGGTCCGTGTGCTGGCGACGCAGCTCACCGGTCAGCACACTCAACTCCTACTCTGAGAAATGATGCGTTGTATCTGCCAAGCCCCCTCCCCTTCGACAGGGCTTCCTCCTGCACCAGGGTAGGCAGGCTCACCCCAGAAAGGGCCACGGGTGAGTCCGAGGCTCTGAGGGCTGTCCCGTCTCCGTCTCTGCCATTGCAGTGTGAGCGCGACCGTGGACGTGCGTAAAGGAGTGAGCCTGGCTGTGTCCCAGCAGAGCCTTGTTGATGGACACTGAGCTTTGCAGTTCGTGTAATTTCATATGTCACAAAATATTATTCTTTGGTTTTTCCTCAGACATTAAAAAACATGAATCCCGTTGTTAGTTGGGCTGTGTACAAACAGCCGGGCCGTGGGCTGCAGCTCGTCTCCGGCAGCACGTCCATGGTGGCCGTGGGGAATATGCCGCCCTATTGACAGCTGAGGTGAAGCAGTGAAGAGCAGAGCGCAGGCTGGACACCAGGCCACCTCATCCAAGTCCTGGGTCCATGGCACAAGACTGGACAGGCCAGTCGTGCCTCAGTTTCCCCATCTGTACCCTGGGGGATGATGGACTGAGGAGGGTCCCGGCCCAGTCCTGTGGCTGTGGTAAGGACCTCACTTCTCCTTGTAGCGTCCCCCAGTGGGGCCTTGTGGGTGTCCCCCCACTGTGACCCCTGAGCTGACAGGCTCTGGGGCCTTGGCCGTGCCGGGCGTAGTGCCAGAAATGGAAGCGTGGCCGTGGGTCGCGGTCCCCTCGCTGCAGGCCCACCACTTGGCCCCTCCACCTGCGCCCCGTTTGTGCAGCCCTGCTCAGGGCCCAGGCCTGGCGCCCCTGCGCAGGAGGGCATCACTCTGTTGCTCAGGGTTTCTGGTGTGACCCATGGTAGTCTGAGGCCCCTTCCTGTGCTGGTTCTGGTGGGGTCTCTGGCCAGCTTGTAGGGCCCAGGCCCGAGCAGTGGGCAGCAGGAAGGGTCCCCCATCGGATGTCACTGAGCCCGAGAGCCGGGCAGGAGGGAACAGGCCTCCGGGTCCGGCGTGTTCGCAGCCGTCGCCCACGTGCGTCCCTCCTTCCCGCTTCTCCTAGGCTTAGGGAGCTGGATCTGGTCTCCAGGCTCGTGTTACACGGTCACCCCCCTCCCACCCTTCTGCTTTCTGTCTCCATGAATTTGACCCCTCTAGGGACCTCATATAAGAGGAATCACACAGTATTTGTCCTTTTTTGATTGGCTTGGTTCATTTAGCATAATGTCCTCAAGGTTCATTCGTGTTGTGATACTGTGTCAGAGTTCCTTCAGGGCTGAATAGTATTCCATTGCATGTATATACCGCATTTGGTTTATCCATTCAGCCATCAGTGGACACTTGGGTTGCTTCTTCCCCTAGGCTACTGTGAATAGTGCTGCCAGGCACGTGGGTGTGCAAATATCTCTTTGCGTCCTGCTTTCAGTCCTTTGGGGAGTACATGGCAGACGTGCTTTGTGTGGTCGTCTTTGAGCGCATGGAGCAGGCTGTCTGGTTTTCACGGGGACCCTCTTTAATGGTGAGACCAGCCTGCCTGGCACAGGAGGGTAAACATGGGCTTCAGCAGCTCCTTCAACTCTGGCCACGTCTGCCAATCACCTGCCGCGGGCTGGACACGGCCTGTGTGCACAGAGACCAAGACATGACAGCGTGAGCCCAGTGCCGCAGCAGAGGGCGCAGTCACCCGGGGGTGGGGACCAGCGAGGGCCCAGGCACACGCTTCTCAACAAATCTCACGAGTGCTGGGTGGCACCTGGTCAGGTTGGGCTTTTTTCTTCTTTAAAATATTTTATTTTGAAATAGTGTTAGGCTCCTGGGAGAGTCGGGGTGACAGTGCACGGAGTCCTTGTGGGTCCTGCCCCCAGTGCCCGTCTAAGCCGAGGGCTTCCGCTGGCCCACGCCCTCACCAACCTCTGACGTCGGATGCTCACGTTCTCACAACGTCCTTTTTGGCTTCAGGGCCCCATGAGGCCTCGGGCGTCTGGTCTCTTCGGTTTCCTATGGTTTGGATGGCCCCCTGTCTGTCCTCATCTTGGTGGCCGTGACACTTTTGGAGAAGACTGGTCGGGGTTTTGGGGAATGCTCCTCGGTTTGGGCGTGTCTGATGTTTTCTCGTGTTTAGATCGGGGTTCAGGGTTTTTGGGAGACGACCTTGGGGGGCATGTCTCGGGGACATGGAATCAACGTGACTTCTGAGTTACTTGACTTCTTTATCCACGCTGTCCCCACGCCCTGGGGTCAGTGGTCTGGCCCCCAACGGGGGGCTGTGTGTGTGGGTTAAGCCCACTCCTGGAAGGAGGAGTGTCGACAAGTTTGGGTGTGTATGTTCCACCCCGCAGTGGCTGACGCTTGTGTGTGGGGGGTCTGGAGACACACAGTCACCCGGGGCCCGCTTGCCCACTGACTAATGAGTCCACCAGCGGCCCTGTCTGCAGCCGTCCCTGAGCCTGTTTCGGTGTGCTGTTCTGTCCCCTCCCTGCCCTGTTTGTTCATTGGAATCAGCAAGGCACCGTCGCTTCTGCTTCACGTGCGCTCAGCCCAGCCCTTAGGGGAGCGAGGGCTGGGGGCTGCGTGGCCTGAGGGGCAGGGACAGGGGCCAGTGGGCCGGGCCCGCCCTCCCCCACCCACGCCGCCCTCCTTGGCGAGGTGTCAGGCAGGGCTCCCTGGGCAGCGCCGGCTGCCTGTTCTGCTCTGCGTGAGTGTCCGCACCCTCACTAGGGACCTTCTGTGGCCCTGCTGGCCCTTCGAAGTGGCCCACTTGGCCTTTCGCCCCTGGAAATTGTTCCTCACCTCTGTGAGCCACGTGATGCTCGGCTGAGTTCTGGGACAGCATCCCCATCCCTCCTTACGGATGCGGCGGGCACGTGGCCTCATCCGCTCAGGTCTCCGCCGACGTGGACAGGCCACCCCTGCGCCTGGTTCTCTCTGCCACTTGTTGTCATAGTTTCAATCCACTGCAGAGGGGGCCTTCCCTTTCTCTTGGCTGTGCTCGCACACGGTGTGTCTGCGACCTCTGGCCTTCGATGCGTCCCTGGCCAGGAGATCTGCACTGACCCCGGGGACTTTGAGCCCCAGCCAGACTCTGACGTTAATCCCGGATGTGTCCTCTGCGGATGAAGGCTGTGTCCTCTGAGTCTAAAACACTGACTTCTGGGTAAACTTGGGAAGTGTCGGATTTAGCAGAAAGGTCTTTCTAGGACGTCAAGGTGGGCCAGGGGCTCCCAGGCAGAGAGGGGGAACGCCCAGTGCCTGGATTGCCCACGAGCCCTTCTGCGTCAGCACTTCTGGGGACGTCTGTGGGAGAGCTCGTTGCAGCTATCAGTGAAGAAGTCGCCCAGCGCTGACCACCGGGCACCAGCTCTCTGCCAAGGGAGCCAGCGGAGGGAGGGGCGCCCGCCCCAGCCTTCCGGGACCCTAGGAGGAGGCTGCTTTGCTCTTTGCTGCTGAGCGTGGCTCCGTTTCCCAGTGTATCTTCCTCCCTTGTAGATGTGCACGGGTGATAAGCGAATGCTCCTCACCTCTCTGACTCTGTCTACCGGTATTCTGTTCCCTCTCCACGCTCTTCCCTCTGGGCCCAAGCTGGATTCAGACAGTGACACAGGCTATCTGCATCCTAGAGCTCACGTCTGGTGGGCACAGGGTTGGGGTCGGAGGCTGTGCCCTTTGGCCCCTGGCCGGGAGGACAGCTGGGAGTGTCAGGGTAGTGGTCTCTCTCCACATGGAATTGGGCTAAATAGCTCCACCCCCAAAGAAGGCGCAGAGACACATGCTGGACGCGGATGGGGCAAGTGACAGACAGAGGCCCAGGGCTGCTCAGAGTTGGCGTGCGGGTTCTGTGTGGAGACGGTGCCCTGCCTGTGTTGTGACTGTGCTGTGGTGCAGACTTGGCTTGGGTCTGACCTGGCCTCGCTCCAGTCCTGAGCGAGGGAGGCTTGTCCCCCTCCAGGGCGCAGGTGAAGATGCTCGTCCCCGCTCTCTGTGAGTGGAGAAGCAGCCCCTGGGGCCCATCCCCACCGTTCTCTGTCTCACACCCACAGGGCAGGAGGTTTGTCTATGCGGGTTCCAGCTCGGGCGTGGTGCAGGCCCCCCTGGCGTTTTGCGGAGAGCTTCACACCTGCGTGGACTGCGTGCTTGCCCGGGACCCTTACTGCGCCTGGAGCCCAGCCACTGCGGCCTGTGTGGCCCTACCTGAGACTGACAGCCCCAGGAGGTACTGGCCTGGGGTTGGGGGGAGGCGCCGCTCTCGGGGGCCCCCGCCCACCCTGCAGTGAAAGCGTGTGCATGTGCGTGATCCATGCTCCATTGTCTTGCAGGGATCTCGTTCAGGAGATGAGTGGAGACACGTCCGTCTGCCCCGGTGAGTTGCTCCCTCTCGCTGCACCCCCTTCAGGAACGGCCGGGTCTTGTAACCATTTCACGGTGCTTTGGTGTTGTGGCATTGTGCACATTTTCTTTCTTTCTCTCCTCGGAGCAGAGGTCAGGTATCTCGTGGCAGACCCCGTGATGTTTCTCTGTCCCTTTTGTTGCAGAAAAGGATGTTGGAAGCCACACAGAGTGTGTTTGTTTCCTGGAAAGCACTGTCCCTCCCAAGCTGTGACGTCCACTCTTGGGACACTGGTCTCGTCTGCTTAGCTTGGGCTCCTTAGACAAACCCAGACCTCTGTGAATGGGAGGGATCAGTCCCCCTTCCCCTTGGGTGACCCCACGCCCGCGGGGAGGTCAGGCACATCCCAGCTGAAGGTGGACGTGCCCTGGGCTCCTGCCCTCCCGTCCTGACCCCACAGCTGTCATCAGTTAAGACAGTTGAGGAGGACGGTGCCGAGGGCCACCCAAAGGCTGGCGTGCCCGGTCGCGGCCAGCAGAAGTGTGCAGCGTCTGACTTGGTGCCGCCCCGGAGTGCGCAGTGGGTGGCTGGCTGCTCAACCGCCCTGGCCTGGCGGGTTTTCTCCCGGGAAACCAGGGTGCAAAATGGGATTTCTGCCGCTCAGAGTTGCCTCCGATTTCTTTGTCCCGTGGGCTGCCATCCGGGGCTCATCTTTGCTTTTCGGTCACGCATGTCTTTATTTCCTTAGTTGTTCTGGAAGATTCCATGTTGCTCCAGTGGGTGAAACTCTTGTGTCCTCTTGTGCCTATTAATCTATTTTTAAAGGAAGTTACGTAGCGAGCAGGGTTGTTGACACTGTGCACGTTTATTTTGATGTTCCAGATAAAATTAAAGAAAGTTACCGGCAGCATTTTTTCAAGCACGGCGACACAGCAGAACTCAAATGCTCCCAAAAGTCCAACCTGGCCCGGGTGGTGTGGAAGTTCCAGAACAGTGGGCTCAAGGCCGAGAGCCCGAAGTATGGCCTGGTGGGCAGGAAGAACTTGCTCATCTTCAACCTGTCGGAGGGAGACAGCGGGGTGTACCGGTGCCTGTCGGAGGAGCGAGTCAGGGACAAGACTGTCTTGCAGGTGATGGCCAAGCACGTGCTGGAGGTCAAGGTGGTCCCTCGGACCCCAGTGCCCTTCACCTCACCGGCCGTCCGGACCGAGGGTGGTAGGATCACCCCCAAAGTGTCAGCGGGGCCCACCCAAGGCTCCTCTCCCCAGACCCCAGCTGTGCGGGCCACTACACCCCGTGCCATCATCCCGTCCTCCAGCGCTGTGCCCACCAGCCTGTCCCGCAAACCAAAGACGGTCAGCAGCGTGGTGTCCGAGGTCCACTCAGAGAAGACGGTGTATCTCAAGTCTGGCGACAACCGCCTCCTCATGTCGCTCTTCGTCTTCTTCTTCGTCCTCTGTCTCTGCCTCTTCGCCTATAACTGCTACAAGGGCTACCTGCCCGGACAGTGCCTCAAGTTCCGCTCGGCCGTGCTGCTCGCCAAGAAGCAGCCGGTGTCCGACCTGTCCGACTGCGAGCCGAGCGCGAAGGAGACGCTGGTGGAGCAGGGCAGCTTCTCGCAGCAGAACGGGGGGCAGCCCAAGCCGGCCCTGGACACTGGCTATGAGACCGAGCAGGACACCATGGCCAGCAGGTTGCCCACCGACAGGGAGGACTCGCAGAGGATCGACGACCTGCCGGTCAGGGACAGGCCGTTTGACGTCAAGTGTGAGCTGAAGTTCGCCGACTCAGACGCGGACGGGGACTGAGGCCCGCTCGGGGAGGTCCGTGTGTCGCCGTGCAGTAGCCTCGTCCAATGCCTGTCCTGTGCGTAGGCAGCCCGTCGTCAGCCAACCTCAGTCTTCTGTGTCTTTTCTCTCGGGTCGAGCTTGTGACTTGGTTCTCTTTGTCCTTTCGGAAAACGGCGAGCGTCGTGCCGCGGCGTCCCTCGGTGGGTCGGAGCAGCTCGGGCCATCCCTGCAGGTGGCCGTGGGGCAGTTGGCAGACGGTCCTGGCCCAGGAGGAGTTGTTCTTGAGTGCCCCTCTCCCAGCAGCCACTGAAAGATAATTTAATTCCAGATTGGAAATGATGTTTTAGTTTATCAGATTGGTAACTTATCGCCTGTCGTCCAGATTGGCACAGACCTTTCCTTCTGCAACGTTATTTTTTAGGATTTTGCTTTAATTGTGTCGGTGCGTTAGGCCATTTGTTTGAATTACTAAAGCAGATGTTTTAATATTTAGAAGATGTACATCTTCTAGGTTTTGTTGTATATTAGGGTAAGATATGGCTTATGTTGCTTACGATTCTCAGGGATAAACTTACTTTTGCTGAATACATTCTTTCTGCTTTTAGAAACGTAGACAAAAGCATCTCTTGAGCACACTTGCTTTTTTTTTTTTTAATTTTATTCCTTGAGGGAAGCATCATTTTCAGAGAGAGTTTCTTTCTGTACTTTTTTTCTCTTGTTTTAACTTTTTCAAAGAAGCGAGGGCAGTGGAGGACTGGCCCATGACGCGGGGCAGGGCTGAGTGAGAGACAGTGCGCAGGCTGGCCCAGAGCCGGGGGCACAAGCGTCGTACCATCTGATGCCCACAGCCCTGGTGGAAACCTCCTGTCCAGACAGATGGAGCGCTCGCCAAGACTCTCTGGTCATCCGAAGGTCTCCTTCTCTTTGCTTCCATCTTGCACCCAGTGCTGCCCAGATGTTCTGCCTGGCCTAACAGCCGTCCACAACTGGAAGAGAACTGGGCAGCGGTGGACAGATGGGCCTGTGACCACCACACCCCCACGGACGCCACCATCGCAGACCTGCTGGGCCTGACGCTGTCCTCGAGGTGCGCACAGGCGGTGAGGTCCACCATCACGGACTTCACACTCCACCTCCCCTTTCTGGAAACCCACAAGAGGAGACTTTTTTCCGTGGCAAGGAGCAATAAACTCTGGATTTTTGTGTGCCTATGTGGACGGTCTCGTCTTCCAGCATGATCAGATTCAAATGCTTTGGTGTAAACATTTGTGTTTTATAAGATTTACTTTGTTTTTATTTTTCTACTTTGAATTGTATACATTTGGAAAGTAATCAAATAAATGAGAAGCTTATATCCTTGATGTGGGCATGTGCTTTGCTGAGGCCACATGGCCTCCCTCTCTCCGAGCGGGGCTGACAGGCAGGCCGGGTCCCCCACACCCCACGCACGTCCCGGGCGGCGCTGGGCCCCTCTCTCCCCCCGTGCTTGGTCTCCGCTCTCTGCATGCAGCGTGTTCTGACGACTCCTGCCTCAGTGCCTCTTTCTTTTCTGTCCTCTGTCTCGCAGCCTCATCTCCTCTGCCCCTCCCTTCTCCGGGGTCCTCCTCCCTGTCCTGTCTGGGCCCCGACTCATCTTCCTCTCCCCGAAGCCCCTGGCCAGCCGTGGGCTCAGGGCCTGACAGCCACCCGCGGGTCACCTTGCTGCCGCCCTTCCTCAGCGACCAGGCCCAGCACGTGCATGCCCTGGGGACCTTCCACCTCTTCTGCCAGGCCACAGGTGAGCAGGGCACCGTCCGTCCGGGGTTGGGGGGGGCTGGGGGCGGACCTCCTCCTCAAGCACCGCCTTCCTGGCTGCATCCCTCAGAAGTTTCCTTTCACTTCCTACAGACTGCGGGCTAACCAGCTGTTCCTCAGAGGGCCAGACGTTAGCGGTGTCAGGCTTTGTGAGCCACAGGGTGGCCTCTGTCGCAAGTCCTCGGCTCTGCCTTCAGAGCCTGGAAGCCAGCCACGCGTGGGCCTGGCCAGGCGCCAGTCACCCTTGATTCCCACACCCCAGGCGGCCAGCTGGGCGCAGCGGCGGCTCACCAGTTCTGGTGTGTAGGGTTACCTCTGTGTCTGCGAACAGTTTGGGGTTGACGTGGCATTTGGAGATTGGAAAAATTAACTTCAAGCCTCCAGAATGGGAGCCAGTCTCTTGCTTTGTGATGTTTAAACCCAAAAAAGATTGAGAGTCTAGGGCAACCCTAGCTGGGACTTGGGGGGCGTTGGCCCCATGTCACATCGTACTGGATCAGGAGTCAGCCAAACACACGTTTCCAGAGCACACGGGCTGCAGGCAGCGCCCCAGTGGCCTGGGTCCCCCCGGGTGTGGGCGGTGTGTGGCTGATCGGTAGTTAACAAAGAGAAACCAGGTGCCGGTTGGTGCCCCGGCTGCATCCTCTGCCCGGAGCAGAGGAGTGGAGTTGAGGAGGAGGACGAGCACCTTCTGTGCTCTTCTTTTTTTGAGATTTTAGACAGACTGAGAAGCTGCTCAGAGGGCTAAGCTGTTGCCCATCCCTCTGTCGAGTCAGCTCATGGTCCTGGGATTGGCCTGGGTTGCTGGGAACCAGCCCATGTGACCGCGGTGGCTCTGCCGTGGGCCTGGTGGGCCGCAGGTGGTGGGCCATGGGTGGGGGGCAGGGAAGTTGCCTGAGAACAGGGCGCTGTGCAGCCAGACCTTCAAGGGGGTCCGTGTGGCCCCGGTCGCTGCTCCATGCCGGGGGCCGGGCCGGTGTTGGGCCTCCGGGTGCTGCTCCTCAGCTGGCCTGTCTTCCTGGGGACAGGCATCTAGAACCTGCGTCTGCCCCCTAAGCCCTCCTGTGCTGGTGGCGGTGGCCTCCCAGGCACACTTGGAGCCTCCTGGTCACTGGGAAAGTGGGGACGCCCAGTGCTGGTCACACGACCACCCCACGGCTCAGGGCCCTTGCTGGGGGTCCAGGCAGGCCTTGTGGCCAGGCGTGCATGTGGTCAGGATCTATATGCCCTTAAATGTGGGCTGCTCAGGGGTGTGTGGCCCATTAGCTGGGTGGGTGTGCATCCACACGCATTTGTGCACGCGGCCCCTGGGACTGGGACAGCACCCACAGGCTGGATCGGGGCAGCACCACTCCAGGTGTTTCAGACACGGGGAATGCAGTGCAGGGTTAAGTTCCAGAGATGACAGCGGGTGGGGACAAGGTCAGGTAAGGCCCCGAGACATAGTGACCACAGAAGCCAGTGCCGGACTCGGGGCAGGAGAAGCAGGGTGCTACTTAGAGCCACCCTGGCCACCAGCGCAGCCCCGCTGCCAGTGCTGCCGTCGGGGCTGCTGAGGGGCTTCAAGAAGCCAAGAGACCTTTCTTCCTGCCGACGGCCATCTCCTGTGGTCTGGCAACCTGGCCGGAGAGGGGACGGGGCCCGAGGAGCTGGGATCATAGGAGCCCGCGTAGCAGAGCCTGGAGAGCAGGGGGAGCAGCGTCTCATGGGGCTCAGGCTGCGCAAACGGAGGGAAACTGAGGCCCGGCCACCCCACCCTCCTCGTGTGCGCTGTGTTCTCTCTGAGTCGGCTGCCCATCCGGGACCGTTCCACTGAGGCCACAGCCCGAGGCTCGGAGGCACCCCCAGGCAGGACCGGCCTCTCCAGGTAGCCTGACGTGGCCTGTGCCACCAGGAGGGGGGCCGCCCAAGGCAATGTCAGCGAGGCCACCCTGAGGGCCAACCAGAGGGCCACCCAGAGGGCCCTGTCTCCAGGGCTACAGACAGAACGCCTCACACACACATCACACGTACCACATACCATATGCCACATACACATGCCCATATACACACTCCACAAACCACACCACACACATGCACCACACAGTCACACACCACATGGTCACACACCACACTCACTCGCCCCAGGGGGGCCTCCTGCATCCTGGAGGCGGGTGTGGTGTGCTGGGCCCCTTGAGGGAGACAGCAGGCAGCGGGGTGACAGGTGGGCGCCCTGGAGACAGCTGGGGGGCAGAGCCCAGGGGCCAAGGAGCCTCCTGTCTCCCTGAAGGCCCGCTCCCACGCCACCCTCTCAGCCAGGAAAGCAGGAGGTGGTCCTCAGGGACCCAATGATGGCCCTTCAAAGACCCTCTCAGCCACGTGGTATTACGTCTGCCCCCAGGAAGCCTGCTGGTCCTAGAGGCAGCCTGCTGTGGTGGCCTAGCGGCTCAAGCCTGTCCCTTCTCTCCGAGGGCCCGTCCTGGCACAGCTCGCAGGCTGACGTCAGGGACCCCAATGACACATGCGAATCTAGGCGTATGGTGTCCTTCCCCCAGACTGAGCCGCGAGCCCATGTGGCTCTCCGTGCCGGTGAATGGCGGTTCAAGTGCAGCATCTCTGGCCGTCCCCTGCCCCGAGTCCCAGAAGGTGCTGGAACCAAAGGCCGAGTTTCTTTTCAAGCCTGGGCTCTGTGGAAGTGTTGGTTCCTGCCGCTGTGGCTGAGGGTGCCTCCCTTTCCAGGGTACTCCAGTGTCGTCCCCGTGGGCTCGGGCCAGGGGTCCCCGCAGAGCTGGCTGTGCAGCCGTGTCGCAGTGGCTCCGGCTCAGGCCAGACCAAGGCCAACCGGCCTCTTACTGCGAGCGCAGCCTCGGAGCTCAGGGACTCAGAGGGGCGCCCTAGCCCCCGTCCTCTCTCCGTCTCCTCATCTGCCCAGTGGAGTGTGTGCACCTGTGTGTGCATTCACACGTGTATGTGTGTGCCTGTTTCTTTGGGTCCAAAGCACACTGCATGCTGGGATCTGTGGCCGCACCTCCTTCCAGGACCTCCTTCCAGGATCGGAGTGCCAGAGGCGGAATGCCTGACCTGGCATGGTTCTCCAAACTGCTGGCCAGCTTCCGGGCAAAAGGGGTGCACGTGGCTTCTGGAGAGTTAGGAAAATGCTGACATGTACAGGAGAGGTCCTGAGCTGGACAAGTCAATGAGGCACGTGGTTGTGTTTCACTTTTCTGAAATAGTGAGTCCACGCTCCTCATGGCAAAATTAGCATAGTATAGATGAGGAAAGAAGTCACACCCTGCCGCACGTAGGCACACTCGCTCTGTGTTGGCGTGTATGAGTACGGATGCAGACAAGGGCCACCGACAACGTCGTGTCCGTACACAAGCACATACAAATCATGCATTTGCACATGCAGGCGTACACACACACAGAAATAGATCTGTCTAGTCTTTTACCCAAAGTGGAGTCTTTCTCTACCCTGTGGGCTCTGCCTCTAGCCCTCATGTGACTGTCTTTCTATGTCAAAGTTAGAGCCATGTCATTTTTAAAACTGGGGAGCCTCTCTATTTTAGGTAACATTGGGATGTTCAGGTTTTGGGGGGCCTTTTATGTTTTAACTGCAACATTAGAAATCAGAGCCCTTTAAGCCACTGGGGTGAGAGGAGGCAGCAGAATGGGCAGCAGAAAGGCGGCCTGGGGCTCAGAGGGTCCCCGTCTCCGAGCTCCTGCAGTGACCGTTGGTGTGAGGAGCTCGTGTCTGGGCTCCTGAAAGGCCGAGGCCGAGCCTGGGGGCAGGGGACCCATGGATCCCGCACTGTGCCAGAGTCTCGATCCTGAGTGTGTCTGACGACCTAGTTTTGTCAGAAGCTGTGTCTCTCATTCTACTCGTGATAATCCACATGCCTTTACAACGGAGCGGTCCTGTTCCTTGGTTTCTGGAGGACTCCTTGTGGGCAGGAGTGTCATCCACAGAGGGCATCCCTCTAGCGCCCCCATGAAGCTGGGCACCGTGCCAGTCCCTCCTGCGCCTCCCACCGCGTGGTCTCTAAAGCGCCTTCTTGCCGCATAAGCTTCCAGAGTTTAGGACCTGGGTATTTTAGGGGTCACGCTTCAGCCGACCACAGAGTCTGGCAGCTTTGTGACGGGCTTGGGACACCCCGAGGAGGAAAGCCGATAAAGCTGGGGTGGCAGAGACCCAGGAGAACCCCTTTCCCTCCCAACCAGGTCCTCCTGATTTCTGGGCCGTGCAGGGGAACGCCCTGTCCTGGGGATCCGGTGTGAGCATCCTTGGTGCGTGCAGCCTCTGGGTGCTCAGAAAACGGCTCCCCAGGGGATGTGCCCAGGCAGCCGGTAGCTGGCAGGAGGACCCTGGGCGTGAGCATGGGAGGTGGGCCAGCCCCATGGTAACTGGCCCCAGGGTCAGAGTAGACCACAGGCACCAGGATGCCTGGAGAAAGGCTTGCCTGCGTGGAGCTGCACAGACAGCAGTGGGGGCACCGGTCTGGGATGTGGTCAGAGCACTTGGGTTGGACCCCATCACATCCCCCTCCAGCTTGGGGCTCTCAGGCCCCACCTCTAGGATGGGTCGGTC